CAACTCTTGTACATGTCCTCGAATAAGTTTTTGTGCATGTCCATAATGTTAATATATGTGTATGTCCACATTACGTGCATTTTGTGCATATTCACTAACTATTTTTACCCTATATCTACATATTAGTATCAATGCATATCCACATATTTTTTAGGTATATCCACACATTAACCTTTGTATATACCCACATGTAAATTTCCCTTTCTCTTTTCCAATCCGCTCAGTTTTGTTCTAAATCTGTGGTTTATGGGTTTATAATTTTCCAGTCCAATCTAGGCGTTAGTGGAAGCTTACTATTGTATGGCTAGGATATTGTTATAGGTACAAATAATTTTATGAAGATAAAATCATTTCGTTTTGTATATATGCAACATGAGTTATGAAATACTGTTACAGGTACAAGTCCTTTATAGAGACAAAATAATTCCTTTTTGTATATAGGCAATATGAGTTATGGAATACTGTTATAAGTACATATCATATCATGAATAGAAAATAATTTCTTGTTATTTATCTATAATATGAGTTATTTCAATTTCCATCTGCAATATCATTCATAAAATCCTGTTATAAGTACAAATCATTTTACGAATAGAAAACCACTTCTTGTTGTATATCTGTAACACGAGATACAGCTTCGTGCACCAGACACATCCGTGGCCTTAGACATATGCCTACCGAATTATGTGACTCTGAAAAAGTACCTTATCAGCTGGCCTTGATCTGGTTGTGTGCGTACGTGTGACGCCACAGCTACAAGAAACGTAAAAAAAAGGTATCAGAAAATCTAAGAAAAAAAAATCAAACAAAAAAAAGGACTCGTTTAATAGACTCATTTAAATTCTGTAAAGATGACGTGTAAAAAATGTCTATTTTTTGTGGTTTTCTTTATACAAAAGGATTGATTTTTTCTTTCTTTTTTTATATAGTCTAAGAGTTAGAGGATACAGTTGGTTGCTACGAGATTCTGCACAGTAAGGGGGGGGTGGAGAAAAAAGTGAATTAAAAAGTTATAGAGGATTACCTTCGTCTGAGTTTTTTTTTTCTTTTTTGCATTGTGCTAAAAAAAGAGAAGTTGGAATGTGAAAGCAGACAGACCCTTGCTTTGCTTTATATTTTTTGTCCTTTTTTTGCACCTGTCGTAGAAAAAAAATGGCAACAATAATTTACAAAGATGGTTAAAAGAAAGCAAAAAAGTTGGAAAGAAAACGGAGTTGCGGTTAACTGATACAATACTTGAGTGTATAATTTTTTTGCGAAGTTGAGAATAGTAAATGCATATGATCTGTAAGTAATAAAAGTGAATGTTGATTTTTTTTTTATCATACGGCAGTTTGATTGGTAAACTTCTGATGTAGCCTTGTGTATCTATTTATCAACGGTTGTTTTTGTAGCAGGGACACATTTTACCTATCTCTTTTTTTTTTCTTTCTCGCTCGCTTATTATCCTCAACCCGCCCCCCCCCCTCTCTCTCTCTCTCTCTCTCTCTCTCTCTCTCTCTCTCTCTCTCTCTCTCTCTCTCTCTCGCTCCCCCTCCCCCCTCACTCTCCTTTCTCTCTTTCTCTCTCTCTCCCCCTCTTCCCCCCCTCTTCTTTCTCTCTCTTTACTCTCTCTCTCTCTTTCTTTCTCTCGCTCTCTTTCTCGCTTTCTCTCTCTCTCGCTGCCTCTTTTCCCTCCTCTTCCTTATCTTTCCATCTCTCTCTATCTATCTATCTATCTCTCTATATCTATCTGTTTTTCTCTCTCGCATTCGCTCTTTCTTTCCCCTACTCTCTTTTTTTATCTCTCTATTCGTTCCCCTCTTCATTCTCCCTCCCTCTCACTCACTTCTCCCTCTCTCTCTCTCTCTCTCTCTCTCTCTCTCTCTCTCTCTCTCTCTCTCTCTCTCTCTCTCTCTCTCTCTCTCTCTCACTCACTCCCTCACTCTCTCTTTCTTTCTCTCGCTCTCACTCGCTTACTATCCCCCCTCTCTCTCTCTCTCTCTCTCTCTCTCTCTCTCTCTCTCTCTCTCTCTCTCTCTCTCTCCTTCCCTCTCTCCCTTCTACCCACCCTCCTTCCCACCCTTCCTCCCTCCCACTCTCCCTCCCTCCCTCCCTCTAACCATCTCTCCCCACAAGCAATATTACTTATTTTTTACAAACAGATATACATACACGTAAATACCTTTTCCTTATTATTTCATTTTTTCCTCCATCCATTTCAGGCCCTGTATATTCTGATCCTCCGAGCCAAGATGCCCCGCTGCCGAGTGCCTTTGGTTCTCCTTCTCATGTGCCTTTGTGGGAAGGCGACGGCGCAGAGTGAGTGATGCCTTCTTTCGTTTTGGTTTCGTGTTTGTTTGATGTTGTTGAGTTGAGTTTGAGTTGTTTAGTTGAGTTTGAGTTGAGTTGATTTAGGTTGCTAAGCTAAGTTTTTGTTTTAGTTTTAGTTTTAGTTTACTTATTTTGCCTTATTTTACTTTAGTTTACTTTACTCTCGTTTACTTTGTATTAGTATGCA